GTATCTCAAAAACCCCTTGGATGATCTAGTCCTAATCATTTACATTCATAATCATTTACATTGTTCGTTCTTAGTGCTAAAGATTCATAACACATGAGCCTTAGACAAGTAATCATTAACAGGAAAATACTTATATTTAACATTAGAAAATTCTTACATGTCTAATTTTAGCTTCATTATGGACTCATGCTTGCCTTTTCTGACTATAGTGTGTCTTGTGATACAAATCAACAAGTCCAAGCTCCTTTCCATCCTTGTCTCGCTGTCAAAACCTGTATAGTTAGTATCCTATGGAGCACATACATCACCAAATAAAAGAAATAAAAAAAGTGCCATGTAGACCCTATGATTTAAAGGTCAGTTGTTTACCTCATCGTATTGCACCTTTCTAAATATCTTTGAGCCAGCTGTATGGAGGACTTTAAGCTCAAACCGATTTTCCTTGTTTTTCTGACATTTCTCCTGCATGAAGTGTAAAAATATATTCACAAGAAATCAAGTCCATGTGCCCAAATGCTTAGTAACAGCAGCAGCTACATGCATAGCAGCAGCCTCCACCACAGCAGCAGTTGTAGCATCATCAGCAGCCCAAGTACAAGCAACCTACACAAGAGCTGCAGCCTCACCACAAGTGTGTGCAAGTGCATTACAAGTGTGTTCAACAATTACCTGGTACGTCTTATCATCCCATAATTGACATAGGTATCGCCACACCTCTTTTTCGATATCTTCATGTGGGTTTGCAAGGGCTGATTCCATCGTAGGGAAACTTCTAAAATGTTGGCGTAGATTAAAGCGGTAGGTCTTGTACCAGAGTTTCATCATTCCAAGGATAAAAGCAATAGCATAAGGTTCATTACTAAAAATGAAACCTTCCTGCCATACCAATAAAATTAAACACTTCAAAATATTAAGCAACATAATTCATAAACGAAAAGGGAATATTAAACTAGACTAAAAAAAAATTATCTTACACGATGAAACCTTCCTGCCATACCAATAAAATTAAACACTTCAAAATATTAAGCAACATAATTCATAAACTAAAAGGGAATATTAAACTAGACAAAAAAAAAAAAACTATCTTACTCGAAGGTATGCAATTAGCATTTCTTTATCCTCGATGCTAATAAAACTCCACTTAGGCACATTTTGTGGGGCAAATTGCCCAGTGACAAGCCCCAACTCGGTGGTGAATTTATCAGACCACGGTCCCAATGGATTCCCAATAATCCTACAAATTTCAACATCCAATTACTTCCCTTGACTTTTTATCTTGAGTAATGCGAGGCTTTGTGACTTCCCACGTCCTTTATTACGCTCGGTTGTATCTATTAAGAACAACATATAGAAAAAACACATCAGTGTCTAACATATGAATTGGATGAAAAGAATAAACAACCAACCAAAAAAGAATATAAAACTAAAATATTTACAAACCTACCAGCAATACAACAATCCGTGCTAGAAGTATCCAAGTATGAAGATTGTGTTGTAACTTCATGCATAGATGCTGATCCTGATGCAGCTGCAGCTGCAGATGTTGATGCAGATGTTGTTGGGGGCACAAACTTCGGCATAAATGAAGAAATTGACTAAGTCGATGTGGATGCAAAAGATGTAGCTGCTAATTTGTTGGGCACATAGCCTCTCCGTCCTCTACCTCTAAAAATCAATAACAAGAACAATAAAAGTGACAAAAAGAAGTCAATTTGTTGTATAAGAAACACATTCAGGTCCAAGCCAAATAATGTAATAAGCATTTAAAAGTTTTTATTCAAATTCAATTGAAATGCATAAGAACTTCTCTTGCTAGTTTATTGCCTAAAAACTCCTTAGTGAAGATGATAAACTTAATAAGCTAATCAAAACTACAGATGAAATAAACTGTTTGGCTAAAAAAACAAAAACTAGACCTCCTAACTTATGAACTCCCTAAAAACAAAATAATTGTGTCATTTTTTCGACATAAACACTGGATTTTATTAAATTTCAAACTGTAGCTATGCACTTCAAGATAGAAATGTCATAAGTTTTCGAATGTAAAGCAAAAGAATTGAGGCATTTTTTTTTCTGCCATGCCTTTCTTGGCAAAGTTTTTCAGCCATAGGATCCAGTGGCACTTCCTTCACTAATTCATGAATTTTTCCCTTCTGTACACTCACTTTTGCACTTGTCTTCTTGAGGACCTTTTCTACAGTAGCTGCAGGTGCAGGGGCAGGTGCCTGATCATATCACATGAAAAACAACAAAATATTTTAGTGGAAGCCAAGTGAGGATAATAAATAACAAAATAGGAAAAAAATTGGGTTAGCTTACAACAAATTCAAACATAATCAGGTGGGTTAGTTGTTATAGGTTCAAACAAAAAATGACACCAGTGAAGAAATTGCAAAACAGTCTAAATATGACACCAGTCAAGGAATTGCAGAAATTACTAAAGATTCCTTATTAATAGATAATAAGGAATGATGCTTATTGATAGTCCCTTTGCAGCAACAGATTCCGTTGCGCGCTTCCTCCATAGATAAGCTTTTCGAGTTTCAAATTCCTCTCTACTCATGATGGGGGGTCCAAGATTGATGCCCATCCTAAAATCTGCAAGAAAATTAGTCAAATTTAATTAAAAAAAAGAGAAGAAAATATGACTTCAAATTTAATTAAAGTTATTTTTTGGTTGTTTAATTCAAATAGCAGCATCAAAAACAAGATTTCGATTCTTTGTAAGAAAAAAATCCCGTAGAAGAGAAATTCTAAGCATTTCTCTTGCTGGGTGCCCCATTATCTTTTCTGGCCAAATTGGTGTTCTACCAAATTGTTGATCGTAACCCACCACCAAGAGTACCTGTTGCAGTACATACAAATAATGAAAAATAAATAAATCTAAACAAAAAACATACTAATTTTGATTTCAACAAAGAAACATCGCCATTGCTACTCACTTCTCTACTGAATTCTCGATCTTTAGATAACTCCTTGCCGCAAGAGGAAGAAGTTGAACTCGTCAATCAAATAAAATACTAAATGGGTAATTCAGCTTGAATACACAATACAGGTCAAATGATCATACATCATAACAATTATTGAACCATAAAAGCTTCAAATGATTCATAAACACAGAACTTGGTTAAAGACTCTTCCAATACAACTAAAAACTTTTGGAGTACACTATCAGCCGCAAAGAGCAAATGGATTTGGTACTCATGAACAAGCATAGAGAATCCAATTCACAAACAGAACTATGTAGACAACTATCTAAGATTTTAAAAAATAAATAAACAAATAAGAGAAAAAAAATTTAACAAAATAGTCATGGATTCAGCCACAACCATCCAGAGTTCCACTTCCAACTCAATAGGACACCAAAATACCAGTTTGAAGTAACAAGGCTCTGGCAAAAGAAAAGAACAATCATGGAATGGTCAAAAGAACCAGGGAAAACCACACACATGCACATACACATATACGTGATATGACTAAGCACTAGAACTACAAATATTCAGAAGAATGGTCAAAACAAAGGAGGGATATTACTAAGCACCACAACAACTACTACTTTTTTGGGATGGCAATGCTTGTCAAATAAATAAGCAGAAGTAATATACTTACTATAAAAAGCATTTTATAAGAAACTGAGTGTCCTAAGTTTTTAAACACTTAAACAACCGAGATAATGAAACATGGCATACCACAACAAAATACTATTATACAATTGATTTAGACAGTGCACCGCTAGTCCAAAGGATGATAGAATCAAACAACATCTTAAAGGACAAATATGATACTAAAAACAAACAACAAAACAAAGCATACATCCTCAAAATAAGGTAGTTAGAAACAAAAGCACACAATATCTTTTCTCAAGCTTTTCCATCTTAAAGGACAAATATGATAACGTTGGAAACAAGACAAAATATTAAAATGAAATAAGAAACAAAACAAAGCACACTTTTTTTGACAAGAAAACTTGAAATGGAAATAAGCAATAGCAATTATAAATCTTACATGATGTTAAAATGGAAATCATTTGGAAACAAGACAAAATATTCATCGATATATATAATCTTCATCAATTTCATCTTCCGGATCACTATCATCATCAATCATATCATCATCAACTTGATCATCCATGTTAGTGTCATCATCATCCGCATTATTATCATTAATGAGCACTTCATCATCAACTTCAAGTTCCTCATCGTGAAATTTGCCAGTAATATCAACACATATCATTTCCATGTCTTCTTTGCATAATTCTATGGGTTGATCATCAATGTGCACCACATCCCCAAGTCCATACGACTCAAATTGTTGGTATGGTTCATCTTTGTCTTTGTCTTCCTCTTCTGCTTCTTCTTCATCCTTTTTTACTAAGATGTCATAAATAGCCCGTGGTAATACTCTTTGTACAACTCGATAATTATTGCCCCACTTCGTATCTTTCAAATAAAACACTTGTTCCGCTTGGTATGCTAACACAAATGGTTCATCTTTGTACCAAGTCTTTGTAACATTTACACTAATGTAGTTAAACTCATCAACTTTTATTCCAATTTTTTCGTTACCATCATCCCACCAATCACACTTAAAAAGAAACACACTATTCCCACCTAGATATTTCAACTCAATTATCTCTCTAATAACACCATAAAAATCAATAGGTTTCCCCTTATGATCTCCCTTCACAACCACGCCAATATTTTGAGTTTTTCGGTACATGTCACAATCTTGAGTGCGAAATCGAATCTCGTTGATGATATAACCATTGTAGCGTGTCGCTCGGTAATCAGGACCTCAAGCTAAGTTCATAAGTTGATTGGAAGCATCCATTGTCCCTTTAACTTGCAGCTTTGTGACCTAATTCCATTGTTAATATGAAATGCATTAGCATACACTTAAGTTCATTATTTCAATACACAAATAATGTTCAAAAATTATAACCCTTACGTATTTTAGAAACCATGTATGGAACTCTGATTCTAGCCTCTCTTGCATATTTTTCAACCTTGTCTTTCAAGTTCATCCATGTATTGCCTATAAATTGTAACAACATTATTCAACACAAATGGTTGTGAAAATAATATAATTCAAAAAGTAAAATATTCTAGTGAATATAATCATATGGTAGTTTACTTACAGCATATATGGTCGAACTTCATCACAATTATTCAACACGAACCATCGAACTTTTTTCAAATTCGCTAAATTCAACACATCATTAATTGCAGCTCTTAATCCACGAACTTTTTGCCTAAATACAAACAAGTTTCCATCTTGTGCTGCCTCAATAAGCCCATCATAGTTTCATTCAGGTATATTAAATCTTGTCTCACCTTCATGGAAGTACATAGAGCAAAAAGTGAGAGCCTCATTGTCAATGTAACCTTCAGCAATAGATCCTTCTGGACGAGCTTTGTTGCGCACATAACCGTTAAGAATATGCATGTACCTTTCAAATCCATACATCCACCTGTATTGCACCGGTCCTGCAAGGATTGCTTCACACGATAACTGAACGGATAAATGAATCATAATATCAAAAAAAGATGGTGGAAATATCTTCTTATGCTTGCACAAAATTAAAACAATATCTTTCTCAAGTTGTTCTAAGACATCAACTCTCAATGTCTTTGATGATAACTCCTTAAAGAACAAGCTAAACTCAATTAATGCCTTGCTCACATCCTTTTTCAAACATCCACGTAGAGCAATAGGAAGCAATCTTTGCAAGATAACATGGCAATCATGGCTTTTCAACCCCGTAATTCGACAGTCACTAGTGTTCACACAATGTGATATGTTTGATACATAACCATCTGGGAATTTAATTGAACTCAAGAATTCACAAAAGTTCCTCTTTTTAGTTGGAGAAAACATGAAGCAAGTAGGAGGTAGGAATGTTTGGCCATGTACTTCCCTTGGATGTAATTCAGGCCTTATACCCATATCCATTAGATCAAGGCGAGCCTTGTATGTGTCCTTGGTTTTTCCATCAATGTTCATCAATGTTCCTAGAACACTATCCCATACATTTTTTTCAATGTGCATAACATCAAGGTTGTGACGAACTTTGAGGGTTTTCCAATAAGGTAAATCAAAGAAAATGCTCCTCCTTGTCCAATTTAAATATTGAGGAGAACGTTTTTGCTTCTTCCCACGTTGATCTATTTTCCCAAATAATGATGGGTCTATATGCCCCAATTGTCCCAAAACCTCCTCTCCTGACAACAACTTAGGTTCTAACCTAAGCTCTGGCTCACCATTGAATGACTTGCTTGTTCTCAAAAAATGATCATGAGGCAAAAAATGATGATGTCCCATGTAACAAGTTTTTCTACAATGATGCAAGTATTGGTGAGATGCATTCTCATTGCATGACGGACAAGCCAATTTGCCTTTGGTGCTCCAACCGGATAAATTACCATACGCAGGAAAGTCATTGATAGTCCATAATAATGCCGCACGCAATTGAAAATTAGAGCCACTTGATGCATCGTAGGTCTCTATCCCTACCTCCCATAACTCATTTAGCTCATCTATTAGCGGTCGTAAAAACACATCAATGTCAAATCCAGGAGCTCTACGCCCAGGAATAAGTAAAGGCATCATAAAAAATGGATCTTTCATGTATTTCCAAGGTGGCAAATTGTACGGGACAATAAAAACTGGCCATATGCTATATGAGGTACTCATATTCCCAAATGGATTGAAGCCGTCACTTGCTAATCCGAGCCTAACATTTCGAGGATCTTTGGCAAATGACTCATGCTTTTTGTCAAAATCTTTCCATGCTTTAGAGTCTGCCGGATGGCGCATTACATTTTTCTCCTCTACGCGTTTATCTTTGTGCCACCTCATATCAGTAGCTGTCTTCCTTGATATAAATAACCTTTGTAGCCTTGGTTTTAAAGGAAAGTACCGCAAAACCTTGTGAGGGATCTTTTTACCTTTACCTTCACCTTTATGAAATTTGTATCTAGGCTCCTTGCAAGTAGGGCATTTATTTTCATTTTCACACTCCTTCCAAAAAAGTACACAATCATACTTGCGTACATGTATTTTTTTGATAATTAAGGCCCAAATCTCGAAGTATTTGTTTAACTTCATTGTATGAGCATGGGAGTGTTTCACCGATGGGAAGTGCATCCTTCAACAGTTCTAGCATCATCGTGAGTGATTTGTTGCTCTATTTATCGAGCACCTTTATATGTAGCAGCTTAACAATGAATGATAATTTGAAATATCGCTGGCAATTCGGATACAATTCTTGTTCTACATCCCTCATTAATCTTGCAAATGTATTTGCTTCACTACCATGAGCACCAGAAAAGTCAGGATTACGACTACCAGATGCTTCCCCAGTATAAGCAAATGTGGATGGTCCACTATGTATGTCATGGACAATTTCTCGTACCTCAGTATTGGGAGAATTTGATTTCTCTGTCACATCATTGAAATATTCATCATTTTCATTTTCCGAGGGATCACTGTCATTCAACTCAAAGTCTTCCCCATGATACACCCACCTAGTGTAAGTTGTGACAACCCCATATGCAAACAAATGAATTTCAACTTCATCTATGGTTTTTTGGATACGGTTGTTGCATCTATTACACGGACACCAAATCTTACTCGTCCTTGATTTCATATGATCATGAGCAAACATGATAAATTCTTTTACCCCATCAATGTATTGATGTAACCTTCTATTATGAAGTTGCATCCAACTCCTATCCATCCCGCAATCCCTATTACAAAGTACACAAAGACATTATCCTTCAATTCCAATATCTTGTTAGAGGTCTTAAAGGAGGAACACAACTAAATTCTTGAAGAAGTTTCACTAATATGTATAGCTACTTTTGACTATGTGATTCATATCTATCTTTTGACAAACAAAAATTCAAGGATGCATTGCCAAGGCACACCACATAAAACAAAAGCAAAAACAAAAGCAAAAGCAAAACATCAGGGCACATAATAACATTCATAACAATCATATCCCCACTTTAAAAAAAAAAATCACAATGTTAAGTTAAATAAGGTCATAAATCAAATAAAGTCAAACCCTATAAAGAGAAGAACGGTTTGGCAATGTTAAGTCCAAGTGTAATGGCTATAGCATACCAAATGGCTTTCTATAGGAGGCTGGTGATTACGACAGTAAAATCCAACAAGTAAAGAAAGAAAAACAAAACATAAATTGCAAACATGCATACATACAATAGAAACAAGTAGAGAAAGAAAAACATAACATAAAGCTGAAGGAGAAGAGTAAGAGCGCTTTTGGGAGCTGTGATTTGGGTGTGTTGGGAAAAACGTGCTTAAGATCTCGGACAATACCATTTCGGCTAGTTGGGATTGAAGATGTTGAATCTAAGCGTGTTTTGATTGAATTGCTTGGAGTTTTAAGGGATAAGAAGCAACAGGAGGAGATTAAGACGAATTCTGGGTGTTTTGATTAATTAGGTTTAAAAACCTCATAACTACAAAATTTTCTTCCTCTCTAAACATTATTTAATACTTTCATATATACCCTGGTATTATATTTTTGACTAATAAAAATCTGTGTTTTGTTAAATATTTTTGGTTGGTTGATTTTTTTCTGCATAAACAATACCCAAAAAAAAAAAAAAAAAAAAAAACCACCCTTCCAAAAAATAAAAAAAGAAACTAAAAAAATTATAAAAAAAGAGGGCTTTTCAAAATGCACAAAATCAAAGCATGACCTAAAAAAATATTTAATTTTTTGACACATCCCTACATATAACCAACCACCCTTCAAAAAAAAAAAAAAAAAAAAAAAAAAAAAACAACCAAACCAACACAACCCGACAAATAGAAAAGAAAAAAATAACAATTGGAGTCATTTGAGCCTCAATTTGTCGAGGCGCCAAGTGTTAGTCTTAGTGGAAAGTCCAATTCTGTTTTTGATTTTAACTTGTCAAACACAAATTCAACCTCCCATCTAAGAAAGAACAAAACACAAACTCAACCTAAATAGCTACAACTATTACTTTGATGATACTGTTATTGTAGCATGAATTTATAAGAGTTGAGTGTTTGAACTTATGGTGATATATTGGCCTCTTTGAAATCAGAACTCAACGATCATTTATTTTTAAAATCTATCAACTGAATATCTTTTCAAATTACTAAAATGCTTCAATTTTTAGATTTCAAAACAATCATACATCCCCCAATCTTATTTCTTTAAACAAACTATCGCTTGTTGATGTATGTACCACAACTTCTAATGTATAGATAGATAGATAGATAGATAGATAGATAGATCACATTTGACAAACCTTGCTAAAACTGAATTTAGTTCAAAAGATCAAAACTTACAACCATTGCGATTTGGTACAACATGAGAAGAAGAACAAGAATGCATATATTACAACTGGTGATGAATTTGTATCGATCTCACAAAAGATCAGATGAGATCACAAGATGGTGCAAGGATGTTGTAGACGCGCCCGTGGGCCTCATGCTACAGTTCGGACTCGATTTGTATCACGGTTCTTAATCTTGAACCAAAGAGTCCAAATCTGGCAAATCGTTTTGAGAAACAGATTTTTTTGAAAAGAAGTGCCAAACATGGACTGCTTTGCCAGATACAGAGTCGCCACCTAAATATTTTTTGTGGGAGAATTTAGGAAACCCTGACTCGGTGCCGAAGGCCACATGTCCGTCATCACCGGAGTTGTCTCGGCTCGGGAGCTTGGGTACGATCGGGGAAGGTCAGCTATGAGCACCCCCTTTCGCCCGGTCCGAAGACCGGCCTCTACTAACCGTGATATCCGTTTTTGAAAACTTTACGTGTTCTTAAACCAATTATTAGCCTAGAATTACTATGTTATGCGCACGGCAAACAAGTATAGACTAGATTGCCTAATTTGGAAATAAACATTGCATATCCGTTCGGTTTGAAAAATGCTTTGGAATTTGCTACTCGCAAGTAGGCTAAAATACGGATTTCAACGAGTTTTTCCAACTCAAACAATCCAACCTTCACCCACAGGCATTCGAAACAGTTTAACACATAAGCATCTAGCCACATGTTAAGCATGCTGTCATGGCAATATTCACACTCGTGTGATATGCTAAAGCGGAAATACTTACATAGTACTCCGTGCCAAAACAAAGAACTTGTTAGCAAACATGCATGATCCAAGTCCATGTGAAGTGCCTAATGCATCGCATACAAAATGTTACTAGAATAGGCTCGGCTATCCTAAACATGTTATGTGAAAATGCACAATTATCACATATTCAGTTTGGGAATCGAAGTATTGATGCAGTTAGCGTGATGTACCGAGCCTAATGCATGCAATACAAATGCATGGATGCACACATGCATAGCATGAGGTATGCTAAATTAAACGTGCCCTAATACTAACCATTAAAGCGGGTAAGTAAAAGGGAAGAAAGAAGTGAGGTTGGAAGACATACACACCACCCACACACACTTATTACAGATTTACCCTCACTCGGAGGGACCGAATAAATATTACAAATTAATTAACTACGCAAGCTAATTAATATTACAAATTAACTAATTTAATTAACAAATTAAATAAATTAATTAAAGTTGGAAAATGCCTCGGGAAGCGCGCCACCATACATGGGCTGCCTCTGTTTTCCTTCCTTTCCTCCTCTGGAGGCTGTCAAAGCCTCAGGACTGATCCCTTGGACAGAGAGGATCACCACCGGCTTATTGAAATTGCGACCGGCAGTGGGGTATGGCCATCGGCACAAAATTGAACCTGTTGGCAGAGAAAATGGTGCCGGTCGGCACATTACACTGCCGGTCGGCAGAGTATTCCTGCAGAACCCTTGTAGTCCTCTTCAACAATGGTGCTCCAATGGCCTCCTTTGGCTTGAATCCAACACCAAAATCTCAAAACAAACCCTTTAGAACCTCAGCTCCAAGAGGAAGGTGAAACACTAGGTGTTTGTGTGCAATAGTGAGGCACAAAACACCTAGTGTGCAAAATGAGCAAAATGAGAGGAAAGAGAGATAGAATGTGTATATCTAACCCTAACCCTAGAAAAACCAGAGCTTGGTCTGTATTTTCCTCTCTCAAAAATGTCTAAAAGCTCCCTTCTTGCCTTAGAGAGAGCCTCTCTCTATATGCCTCTTGTAAAGCTTACAAGACAAGCTTTGCAAGAGGGATGGAGGGGAGCAAAAGCAATACAGCTGTCTAAAAATATCTGCAAAAGCAGATGAACAGCAATCGGCCGGCCAAAAATGCCATCTTGGCCAAAAAAAGTGCCGGTCGGCAACAAATAGTGCTGACCGGCAACAAAGAGTGCCGGCCGGCAAACTATATTGCCGGTGGCAGCAAAAACCAGCCGGTGGCATCTAGCCACTGCCGGTGGTGGGTGGGGATGGTCTACAAGCCCCACCCTGCCTCTCAAAGGCAAGATGCAAGTGTTTGGTGCAAAACCAGACACTAAACGGTCGAGTTCGGGGATCCTGAGGCAAGGCGCGCGAGCCGAGGCCTCCGGGAACTCCAAACGAACACAAACATGGAAGATCACCGTGTGTTCAAACGGTGACGTCCAAGTCTTGAGGACGGTCAAAAATGGGGTGTCTACAGATGTGTGCATGGCTCGTAAACTGGCTGGTAAAAAGTAATATAGAACAGTGGCAGTGGATTAGGGTAGTTATGAATATATGGATTATCTCCTTCCTGCAGGCTTTCTAGTTTGGGATGGCGGTGGATTAGGCTTTCACAGGATGGGAGAGTCATTGTGTGGACTGTGGCGAAGGAACGGGATCAATGGGATGGTAAGGTTTTGAAGGATTTTCAGACCCCTGTTTGGGATGGTAAGGTTCTGATTTCTTAAATGATCTATTTGTTTGGCACAATAATCTATTATAATGCAATTCTGTTTGAGGCGTAGATTTCATTATTGATTTATAACAAAAATGGCAAAAATAATCAGAGAATAGATGATATTCTTGTGTCCTTTTTCTCTTACGCATCCCCAATTCTTCATCTCCAACACGCATTAGATTAGACATACATATATACACACACACAAGTTCAATCTATGTAAACAATTGTTCAATTCCAACAAGCATTAAGATAAGAAACAAGTCCAGTCTCTGTAAACACAGCTTGAAACACAATAAGAAATTGAAAATACAATAAACAGGTCGATTACGGAGATCGGAGATCGATTACGATAAACAGAGATTGAAACACGATAAGAAATAAAGTAAGACATAGATTGAAACACGATAAGAAATTGAAAATACAATAAACAGTTGAATCTATGTAAAACACAGATCGATTACGAAAAGAAATTGAAAGTTCGAATTGGAGCTCTTACAGGTTGATTACGGAGATCGATTACGGAGAGAGAGAGAGAGAGAGAGAGAGAGAGACGCACCAAAATTTGAAGAAGATTGAGCTCCCAATCTACCTTGGAGCTCCCAACTTTAGGGCTGAAGATTGAGCAAATCGAGGTGCGAGAGATTGAAGATTGACAATTGAAGATTGAGCTCAATCTTCAATTGTTAATTGAAAAATGACTATTAATCTTCAAATGTGGAGCTCAATCTGCCTTGGAGCTCTTACAGGTATGAAGATTGATTATGGAGGGAGAGAGAGAGAGAGAGAGAGAATGAGCAAGTTAGGGCTGAAGTGAAGAAAGAGGTCCCGACTTTTCAATTGATAAAATGATGAAAATAATTGCTCTCAAATTATTTTTAATTGATAATGGCAAAAATATTTGGTCCCTAAATGTTAATAATCTATTAGCAACCAAATTTATTAGTCTAAAAAAATTATGTAAATATATTAGCAACTGAATTTATTAGTCTGAAAAAATTATGTAAATATTAAGTGAGAATATTAATAATCATTTTTACAATGTTGTAAGTAAATTATCATATGTTTAAATTTGTCCCTAAAAGATTATTTTTAGCGATCAAATTTAATTAGTCCCTATATATTAGTCTCTAAAGGTCTAACCCTCTTTGGCAGCAAGCTATGAGTGATGAACTTCAAGCTTTAGATAAAGCTCATACCTGGGATGTAGTTGACCTTCTACTTGGCAAGAGTGTTGTTAATTGTAAATGGGTTTACAAGATCAAAACTCACTCTGATAGTTCCATTGAGCATTACAAAGCTCGTCTTGTTGCTCGGTGGTTTACTTAAGAATATGGGATTGATTACAAGGAAACATTTGCTCCTGTTGCTTGTCTTACCTCAGTTCGTAGCCTACTTGCCATTGCTGCTGCTCGCCATTGGAGTCTTTGTCAGATGGATGTCAAGAACGCCTTTCCCAATGGCGATCTCACTAAAGAAGTTTATATGCAGCCTCCTCCTAGTTCCTTAGTTCCGTCCACCAAGGTCTGTATACTTCGCCGTGCTTTGTATGGTTTGAAACAAGCTCCCTGTGCCTAGTTTGCCAAGTTCAGTTCTACTATTAGTGACTTTGGATTCTCTTCCAATGCCTATGATTCTGCTCTGTTTATATGCAAGACAGAACGTGGTGTTCTTCTTCTTCTTCTTCTCTATGTTAATGATATGATCATCACCGAGGATGACATAATGGGTATCTCTAGTCTCAAAAAGTTTCTCAGTCGCCAGTTTGAGATGAAAGATTTAGGTTTGCTTAGTAACTTCCTTGGCTTGGAAATTTCTTATGATTCTTCTGGTTACTTTCTCACCCAAGCCAAGTATACTTCTGATCTCTTGGTTCGTGCTGCTCTTACCAATTGCAAGACTACTCCTACCCCAATTGATCCTCAGACTCGTCTCACACCTCTTGATTTGTTGTCTGATGGTACCATATATCGTCAGCTAGCTGGCAATCTTATTTATCTCACAATTATTCGTCTAGACATTTCCGATGTTGTTCACATTGTCAGTCAGTTCATGGCTGCTCCTCGCTCTCTGCACTATGATGCTCTAATTCGCATTTTGTACTATCTCAAAGGAACTATGTTTCATGGTCTTCACTACTCCGCATACTCATCTATACAGTTACACACATTTTCTGATGCAGATTGGGTAGGGGATCCCATTGATCGTCGTTCTACTATAGGATTATGTTTCTTCTTGGGTGATTGTCTTATTTCCTGGCGTAGCAAGACGCAAACTCTTGTTGCTCGTTCTAGTACTGAGGCTAAGTATCGTGCTTTTGCTGACACTACTTAGGAACTTTTATGGCTTCGCTGACTCCTTACTGATATAGTTGTTTTTTTCCCTGGTGCCACCTCTCTTTATTGTGACAATCAAAGTGCCATTCAGATTGCTCACAATGATATCTTCAATGATCGCACCAAACATGTTGAGATTGATTGTCATTTCATTCGACAGCATGTTATACGTAGTACTGTTCATTTTCTTCCTATTTCTTCTGCTGATCAACCTACTGATATTTACACCAAGGCTCATCCCCCTAGTCGTTTCGGTGATCTAGTTTCCAAAGTCAAGGTGGGTAAGCTCAAGTTGGTTGATGCTTACCCACCTTGAGTTTGAGGGGAGGCTGTTAATGTATATATTAGATTTAGATTTATACTTATCTCATTGTATTATAGATATAGTCCATCTCTCTCTATCTCTATCTCCTTCTATACTTATCTAAGTTTATGTTTAAATACAGGCTCTCCTATTGTATTCAATTCAATTTCAATATATATAACATACACAGCTTTTTCTCACTTTCTCTCAACCATTGTAACATTGAATTTGAAATTTCTACTTCTTTCTACTGCTTTTAGTTGATTCATATTTTTTATAAATGTATTTACAGGTCATTGTGCTCTCTTCTCTTTCTTGAGTCATGCTGATGATTGTTAATACCACATCAAAATTTTTGCTCATTGTTCTGTGGTTCCTATTTGGGGTCGTGCAATATGTGTTTCATTAGTGGTCATGTAAGGCATTGACTATCAAGGAATGGCCTTAAATGTGTAAATTGACCATACAAGCTTGAAAAGTGACTATCAAGGATTGGCCTTAAATGTGTAAATTGACCATACAAGCTTGGCCTTAAATGTGTAAATTGACCATACAAGCTTGAAAAGTGACTATCAAGGATTGGCCTTAAATGTGTAAATTGACCATACAAGCTTGAAAGTGACATAGCCAGCATCACCAAGTCTCCTTTTATACATGTCAACAAGTTCTTCATTTCTAACCCAAAACTCCTGTCACAAACACAATCACAAATTTCGCATTTTAGTATCCGAATTGATCAAAATCATCCATAAACATAGAAGAAAAAAAGGGGAGAAATAATGGCAAAACTTGAAGAAAAAAGGTTGGGGGTGGGGGAAATCATACAAGCAGTGCACTTGCTAAGTTGGATTACAGTTGCCAGTCGACCGGCCGGACATTCGGCCGGTCGTCCCCTTGGTCGACCTGTGCTTTGATTACAGCTATAAATTCACCGTTGGACTGGCTGATATCAGATAGAGGAATTCGTACTTTTTTTTATTTAGATTTGATGAAATATTTGGTGAACCGTTGGAGATGCCTTGTAAAATAGCTTAAAAGATGAAAACACATGAGAAAAAAAAAGTTTTTAAAAAAAGTGAAATATGTTGTGTAAACAACAACTTAAACTATAACAGAAAAAATTCATAAAACACCCAAAAACTGAAAGTGGTAAAAATTTGAATACAAAAAAATAAAAAGTTGAAAACAACTTAAAAATTCGAAGAAAAAACTCAAAAAAACCACCCTAAAGCTATAATAATAAACATAATTTCATTAACAGCTAATACAACAATTTTAAAATTAGAGCACAAAAAAAAAATGCCAAAAATAAACTGAAAGATTAAGAAAAAAAATCAGAAACCACCCAACATAAAAAATAAAAATTAGTTGAATTAATACATGAAAACAACTTTAAAACTATAATAGAAAAATTAAGAAAAACACCCTAAAAACCAATTCAAAAGGGCAGAGTGGGGGAAAATAATTGAAGAGGAGAGTGAGAGAGACAATGAGCCGGTCGTCTTAATCAATGGAAGGTGAGGTTGAGAAATAGGGTTCCAATTTGGCAGCAATAATTAGTTTAAAAATTGACTATTTTAATCAATTTTTTTAACTTTTTATTAAAAGAATATAAAAGAATAAAAAGAATGATCATATAATTTATAATAACTTTTTGGCATTTTTAGTTACTGACCAAACAAGGCTTAACCAATCAATTTAGCCACAAGAATGATGACATTCGAATTATTATTACTTAATATTTTCCGCAACAACTTATATATGTCGCCAAACATCATACAAGCCGCAACAAAACCCAACTTGTCGCCAAAACGTCCCAAACTATTCGGCACTGGCACTACAATTTTGTAATAACTAAGTTTAGAAAAAAAATATAATAAATCCTATAATTTTAACATAATTATTGAGTTTTCTTATATTTTAATTTAAATAATGTTTAACTCATTTTTCATCAATATGATTAAGAATGGAAAAGAAACCAGACCCTATGAAATATCATTTCAACTCAGCAGTTGGCTCTACATGGTCTTACCATAAAAAAATTTTAAAAAAATGTAATGGGATATGATGGATGATTAAGAATGGGAGAGAAGCTAGATGTTAGAAATATCATTGGGAAGTTAGGTAAATGGGAGAGAAGCTAGATGTTAGAAATATTATTGGGAAGTCAGGTAAAAGTCAGCTTTTAGTTTTTAATCCATTTTGGATCAAATTATCTCTCATTTTTTACTTATAAAAAAGAAAAAAAAATTCAAAAATAAAAAAATCAACTTTTAACTAACTTTCTAAAACACCCAATGTCATATGATGGATGAGTTTTGGTGGGATGCTTGTGGTTTGTTAAATCAATATGATTAAGAATGGAAAGGAAACCACATCTTATGAAATGTCATTTCAACTCATCAGTTGGCTCTACATGGTCTTATCATAAATAAAAAATTAAAAAAAAAATGTAATTGGATATGATGGATGATTAGGAATGGGAGAGAAGCCACACGTTAGAGATATCATTTCAACCCATCAGTTCGCTCAACATGGCCTTACCTTTAAAAAATGTAATATCATATGATGGATGAGTTTTGGTGGGATGCTTGTGGTTTATTAAATTAAGAAAAATGAGATTTCTATTTTTAGGATTCTCACCACCCCCAAAATTTAAATTTTTATACATTTATGAATTGAAAATTATGTACTTCGTGTGATAAAAATATTTTTTTTTTATTTTTTTCATGTTTTGTGGTCTTGGAGAGGATATGATTAAATTTTGTTATTTTTTCGTTTTAATTTCTCAATTTTTTTCTTCTTTTTTTCTTCTTCTCCCTGATGATGCTCTAGACATTCTGGTGAGTCTCCGACGATATTCTTGATTCCAACGACATTATGGATATTCCGGCGACTTCTGGTGACATTCAGAATACTCCGGCGATAGTCCGACGACTTTTCAGCGCTGTTAAACATTCTGACGAGTCTCTGATTGACGAAAATCCGATGATAGTCTGACGATGGTAGGATATGGCAGCGTCTTTAAATTTTTTTTATTTTTTTAAAATTTCTTTTAATAACAATTAAAAATATATAAAACTAATTTTTAAACATAATTTATTTTAAAATTAGATGAATTTTAAATTGTTGAAATAGGACCTCCGGTTAGTGCTCCAAAAATTACCAAATCATTTAGATGTGGTGTGGGTCAACATGAACATTGCCATTTGGGCCCAAATAATGTGAATCTCTTACATCAGTTTCAACTATTCGGGTTCGAACTCATAAGAGCTTCTCACAACCAAGACATCACAAGCTTCAATCCCTCCTCCAAAGCGAAATGTAGTTGGAACGTTTTCATCATTGGTGGATAGGAATGGCAACGGGGCGGGGCGGGGCGGGACCGGGGATCGCACTCCCCGTCGCTGATCCCCGATGGTAAACATTTCTCCGTCCCCGGCCCCGATCCCCGACAAAAACCTATCACCATCCCCGTCCCCTGCCTTAACGAGGATCGAGTTTTCCTGACCCCGAAAATTCCCCGGACCCAAAAAAAAAAAAAAAACCCAAACAGAGCAGCAATGAATTCAACATTATCAACAACAAACATCATCAACATCCGATAAAAAAAAAAAAAAAATCATCAACAGCATCATCATCGACCAACAACAACATCATTATCGACTAACATCAACAATAGAGAGATCGATCTGGTACGAGAGAGATCTGAGTAGAGAGAGAGAGAGAGATCTGCTCAGATCGACTCTGGCATCGTGGCATAGAGAGATCGAACTCTGATTCGGTGCTCTCTCTCTCTCTCTCTTTGAGTGAGTGAAAGAGAGATGAGAGACAATAAGGAAGAGAGAGAGAGAGAGAGAGAGAGAGAGAGAAAGAGAGAAGATATGAAATGAAAAAATGAAATGAATGAGAGAGAGAAACTAATCAAAAAGTATATACATATGTACCACTTTGGGGACAAACGGGGCCGAGGCCGGGGCCGGAACACTTATTACCGTCCCCGGCCCAAAATTGATTGAGGATTAATTTTTTAATACCATCCCCATCCCGTTGAGGGTATTTTTCGGGGAAAAACCGTTCAAATCAGGATCAAGGGAACGGGTCCCCGTTGAACCGGTTTCAAATTACCGTCCCTATTGGTGGATATGTCATTGAACTTAATCTCGAAGAGCTTAAACTCGATTTTTGATTCAAATGGGATCCATTTGGGTTTAGCAGTGAGTGAAGTCCTCTGGTGTTGTGCGATCTTCTTCACCATTCGTGCGCTTTAGCACTGGTATAAGACCCAGAAAATACAACGCAGGCACTGAAGAAGACTCTAGGGATGCCTAGTTTGGAGGCAAGAGGCCCGAGCCAATTTACGAAATCGTAAATTACCCAATGGGGTGAATCTGAGACATGGGCTGTTGGAGTTGATCATCGGAAAACGCCTTCATGAGGTACTTGACTTTGTGGTGTGGAGGATCGAGTCTGGACTTTGCGTTTTGGAAGAGTTGGTCGACTTTGGATATCACTAAATTGATGAGAGGGGATAGATTTGGAGGCAATTTGGGGAGTCTATAGATGTTTCTAGGAGGGGATATGAAAGAGACTCCGACCATTTTGGGCTATGAGCTTGGAGAGCTCTAAGAATGGAAGCATATGACCAAAGGCTAACCTTGGGAACATGACTACGTGTCGGTTTTCATCTCTGA